CCGAGGCCTTCCTGAGCTCTCCGGACTGGCTTTAAACGCCCTCCCCGCCCCCCCCCCGGACCAGCCAGATGAGGAGGTTTCAGCTTGGCAGCCAGTGGGGTAGGCGGTGGGGCTGGAGGCGAGGGTTCCCCCGGGGTCCTCTGCCACCCTTCTCCCCCCCCCTCTGCCCGCAGGCGACCCCCTGCAGCGAGAAGCGCTGCCTCGGCTGCCTCGTGTTCCCCAAGGAGATGAGGGGGGGGGCTGCGGAGGGCCCCCGGCCCAAGGAAGAGCTGCTGCCGCTGGCCCGGGACTTCATCAACCAGTACTACGGCTCCATCAGACGGTGAGCGAGGGGTCCGGCCAGCCCCTCCCCTTCTGCCCAGCTGGGCGCTGTTGGATTTGGGCACGGTGTCCCCCGCGGGGTCTGTCTGCCCCCCCCCCAAAGAACAGGTGCTGGCCCACACTGTGCCTGGGGCTGAGGGCAGCCGGCTCCCCGCCACGGGGCGTGGGTTTCCCTGCAGGTTAACCGGGGGCCTCGCCCCTTCCAGACCATTTGCCCTCGGCCTTCCTCCTTGTCACCCAAAACTCAACACCATCATCAAGCGGGGGGCAACAGTGGGGAGGGGGCTTCTAGCGTCCTGGCCCCACTGGGGGACCTCGTGGTGGCCCCTGGTGTTTTTGGCCACTGTGTGACACAGAGTGTTGGACTGGAGGGGCCATTGGCCTGATCCAACATTGGCTTCTCTTATGGTCTTATGTTCTTATAGGAACTCTCAGGCTTGGGAAGGGATGCTCTGTATTCTTGGGGGGGCAACAGTGGGAGGCCTCAGAGTGTCCTGGCCCCACTGGTGGACCTCGTGGTGGCCCCTGGTATTTCTGGCCCCTGTGTGACAACAGAGTGTTAGACTGGAGGGGCCATTGGCCTGATCCGACATGGGCTTCTCTTATGGTCTTATGTTCTTATAGGAACTCTCAGGCTTGGGCAAGGGATGCTCTGTATTCTCGGTGCTTGGGGGGGCAACAGTGGGAGGGGCTTCTAGTGTCCTCCTGGCCCCACTGCTGGACCTCCCGATGGCGCCTGGTATTTCTGGCCCCTGTGTGACAACAGAGTGTGTGACCAGGTGAGCCACTGGCCTGATCCGACATGGGCTTTTCCCTTATGGTCTTATGTTCTTATACGAACTCTCAGGCTGGGGCAAGCGATGCTCTGTATTCTTGGGGGGGGCAACAGTGGGAGGCATCCTAGTGTTCTGGCCCCACTGGTGGACCTTCTGATGGCGCCTGGTATTTCTGGCCCCTGTGTGACAACAGAGTGTTGGGCCGGAGGGGCCACTGGCCTGATCCGACATGGGCTTTTCTCTTGTGTTCCTAAGGAGGACAGAGAGCCTCCCCACCCGGGGGTCCCGCTTCTCGGTGGCGGCAGTGGGCAGAGACAGGAAGGGCAGCCGTTTGGGGCTTGTTCCCGGCTGGCCGAGGCGCAGCGAGGGATTGGGAGGCCCTTATCTCCGGGGCCTTGTGCTGAGGTCACCACCCCCGGATTCTTGGGAGGGTCAGCCCCACACCCCTTCCTCTCCGTCCTGAGCTCCCGGCCGGACACTCTGACTCTCCTCTTCCCGGCCCCAGAGATAACAGGCGTGCTATTTTTGCGCGGCTGCTTATCGAAGATGAAAGGGCTCTGAGTCAGGCGGGAGTCCTCCTGATCCGGGAATGGCCCTCTCTGGACCCCTCCCGGGGGCCCGTTCTGCTGCCGCACCTCCCGGCCCCCACGGGGCCCCCAAGCACATGTGACTAAGCCACCGATGCCGATTTCCTTGCAGGCTGCGTCACCCTTGCAGGACCGCTTCCGTGCCATTTACTCTCGAGTAGTCTCCAGTTTGAGACAATGAGGCTTTGCCGGGACTGGCTTGGGACAATCCACCAGGAAGTTCTTCTCCAGTGATAACGAGGGGGAACCTGGCAGCCAATGGGGGGACGGGACAGATTGGCTTTCACACCTGGCAGATACAGGAGAACTTCCAGGGGGGGCAATGTTCCCTCTAAGCTGTGGAGTCTCGTGAGCAATTATTCTGCTTTGCGAGCTCCTGGCATTAAAGCTGTGAGCGAGCGATTTGGCTGCTGCATAAATTAGTTGGTTCTGGCCCCTTCCCCCCTGAGCCAAGACAAAAATGTGTGCGCCGGAGGCTAAAAAACCTGTGAGCTAGCTCACACTCGCTCAGCTTAGAGGGAACACTGGTGGGGGGGCTGGATGCGTCTCCCAGTCTTCCACCCTTACCGTGCCCCCATCTGTTGTTTGAGGCGGACTCTAGCTAGGTACCAGTGCCCAGCCCCCCCCCCTGTCTGTTTCTGTCCCAAATTCCTTTGTTCTCTCCCTGGCTCTCATGGTGTGTGTTATCAAAGGCCTTTTCCTCTCTGAGCCGTTTCTTCCTGTCTCCTCAGAGGCGTCTGATGTCATCAACATTCCCCCCCCCTCACCCCACACAGAAGCGTTCTGGCAGCGCTCTCTTCCCCATAGCCATGTTTGCCTGTTTCCCCATAGGGAGCAGACGCAGGGTACTGGTGGTAACCCCGATCGCTTTTATCTGCCAGCGAGGCCCCCTCCCTGGTCGGGTGCCAAGCAGTGCTCCTGCTAAGCCGTGGAATCTTGTGAGCAAAAATTCTACTTTGTGAGCTGCTGGCATTAAAGTTGGCCAGTTTGGTGTGGTGGTTAAGTGCGCAGACTCTAATCTGGGAGAACCTGGTTTGATTCCCCACTCCTCCTCCACTTGCAGCTGCTGGATGACCTTGGGCAAGCCGTAGTTCTGTCAGAGCTGTTCTCTCAGGAGCAGTTCTTGAAAGAGCTCTCTCAGCCCCACCTACCTCACAGGGTGCCTGTTGTGGGTAGGGGAAGGGAAAGGAGTTTGTAAGCCGCTCTGAGACTCCTTTGGGTAGTGAAGGGCGGGGTACAAATCCAATCTCCTCTTCCTCTTTTACTGCATAAATTAGTCTGCTCTGGAGCCCTCCTTCCTGAGCGAAGACAAAAGCGTGTGAGCTGGAGGCTAAAAAACCATGAGCTAGCTCACACTAACTCAGCTTAGAGGGAACACTGGTGCCAAGTGAGCAGCCTTCGGTTTTCTCTCTTCCTGGCAGCTCCTTGTACTTAAATGGGGGATATCAGCGGAGGTTAAACAGGTTGACTTAGGATTGTACTGTGATCAAGTGGTCAGAAAGTTGCATTGGTGAAGGAACAGGGACTGTGACCAAGACTGCTGTATTGTCACCTGCGGGTAGTTCTACACCACTTAACGTATCGTGTTTAAAAGCGTCTTCTTGGTTGCAGCTCTCTTTGAGATTCCCGCGGTCCAAATCCTCCTGTTCTGTCCGCTGGCGGTTGCACTTGACTTACATTCTGCCGTCTGCCTGAGGTCTCCGTGGAAAAGGCAGATGATAAAGAACCAGATAACAACAGCAATAGCAAGAATAATGCCTTCTCAGCCCAGAGAGCCAGTTTGGTGTAGTGGTTAAGTGCGGGGACTCTAATCTGGGAGAACCGGGTTTGATTCCCCACTCCTCCTCCACTTGCACCTGGCTGGATGACCTTGGGCAAGCCACAGTTCTGATAAGAGAGCCAGTGTGGTGTAGTGGTCAAGTGCGCGGACTCTAATCTGGGAGAACCAGGTTTGAGTCCCCACTCCTCCTCCACTTGAACCTGCTGGATGACCTTGGGCAAGCTGTAGTTCTGTCAAGAGCTGTTCTTGAAAAAGAGCAGTCTCTGTCAAGAGCTCTCTCAGGCCCACCTCCCTCCCAGGGTGTCTGCTGTGGGGAGGGGAAGGGAAAGGAGTTTGTAAGCTGCTCTGAGACTCCTTCGGGTAGTGAAGGGCGGGGCTATAAATCCAATCTCTTCTTCTTCTTCAGTATGGCCTAGTCCGCCTGGCAGTGCCTGTCCACGCTGTTGGGCAGAGAGAGGTCTTTCAAGTGGAGACACTGGGCAGGGGGTGGTGGTGCGGGCTCAATTCCCGCTGGCATCCCACACACCTGTCTGCTGGGCTCCTCCCCCCCCCCCGCGTGGGCAGCAGGGGGCCGGCATCTGGGGGAGGGGTGTGGCCACCTCAGTGTGTGCCAGCTGGTCGCTTCTGCACCTGCCTGTCACAGGGGCATCCCTGGCGTGCTGCGCAATGATTGGTGGGTTGTAGTGGGGTTGCCTGGATCCCCAGTGGAGCTGCTGTGCCCCCCCCTCGGTTGATCGGTTGGTTAAACTGAGCGTGGTTGATCCCTGTGTCAGAGAGAGTAGCTCTTGCCGTGTGACCTCTGAAGATGGGCACCCCTGGTCCTTACACAAAAGGGCACCACCCGGGGCGCTAAGAACAGTCCAGGCGTTCTGCCTCAATGGCTGAGAGAGGGGGTCTTGCCAGGCGCTCAATTGCAGCCAGCCCCCTCCCAATGAAAGGGTCAGAGGGGTCGTGGGGGTGGGGCGGGCTGTCGTGCCCCCGTCTGACCAAGACCTGTCTCCCCAGCTTGGAGTCCAAGGCCCACATCCAGCGCCTCCAGGAGGTGGAGCGGGCGATCTCGGAGACGGGCACCTACCAGCTGCTAGAGGCAGAGCTCATTTTCGGGGCCAAGCACGCCTGGCGAAACGCACCCCGCTGCGTGGGCCGAATCCAGTGGAGCAAGCTGCAGGTACGCGAGGGGAGCAGCCCCGGAACCGCTCGCTTGAAAGCCCCCCGCATGCATGCCAGGCCGAGCTGGAATCTCTTGTGGGAGCAATGGCGAGGGGCACCCGTGGCAAAGTAGGTTGGGCGACGGGCAGGAGGTGGAGGGCGGAACGGGGGCCCAGCGCCACATTATCCTGGGAGGCCCACAGAGAAAGATCCGGCTGGTTCTTCAGACCTCCTGGCCTCTCAGCATCCCTTCCCGCCTCCTGGCAGGCCATCCAGCTCCGACCTTCTTCCTGCTCCACGTGTCTTCCTTGCAGCCGAGTCCTGTTATCTCTGGCAAAACGGTGGTGAGGGATCCTGAGAACCCCCCCCCCCCCACGTGCTCAGACCGAGTCCTGCTTCCCGCCAGCCTTCTCAGCCAGAGAGCCACCCCCTCCACCCCCACTTTCTTCTTCCTCACCCACCTGCCATCTTCAAGCTCCGCTGGTCCTGTCTCCTCTCCCATCTCTCCACTGGACTTTCCGCCTTCACGCCCTGCCCCCCCCCCCCCCCCCCTTCCTGATCCGCTTTTCCTTTGCTGCTGCTCCAGAGGTCCTTCCAGCCCAACTGGCGAGGAGGGTTAACTCAAGGTTATGTTCCTCTCGTGCCCTTCCCGAGTCCGCCGGAAGGCTTTTCGAGCAGCAGGCTTTGTGCCTCGCCTGGTCCCCTTGGAGGGGGGGCTCACAGTGTGCAGAGGGGAGGGGCTGAAGCCCCCCACCCCTCACCTGCTGCGGGATTCCTGCCCTGGAAGGGCACTGGGAAGTTGCTTCCCCCTCCCACAGGAAATCTACATTGATTTATTTATTTGCTTGGTGTCGTGGTTAAGTGTGCGAACTCTAATCTGGGAGAACTGGGTTTGATTCCCCATTCCTCTTCCACTTGCACCTGGCTGGATGACCTTGGGCAAGCCGTAGTTCTGACAAGAGCTGTCCTTGAAAAAGAGCTGTTTCTGTCAAGAGCTCTCTTAGCCCCACCTGCCTTACAGGGTGTCCGTCTGTTGTGGGGAGTGGAAGGGAGAGGAGTTTGTCAGCCGCTCTGAGACTCCTTTGGGTAGTGAAGGGCAAGGGGTATAAGTCCAATCTCCTCCTCCTCCTCCTCCAAATGGTCCATGGTAGGCATTGCTGGTCTTCAGGGCCAGCTTGACAGGGGGAAGAAGGGAAGCTTCATGGACAGAGGGGGGGGGCTGTTTGGGGCACAGGAAGAGCCTCCTCGACCAGATCAAGGAAGGTCCAAGAGCCCAGCATCCCGTTTCCCTCAGGGGCTGAGCAGAGGCTGCAGGAGGCCCAGAGCTCTGGGGGTAGAGGCCAAAGTCTTCCCCCGTTGAGCATGGAGACCCCTGTGTAGACCCTCCTCCCATAGACCCTCCCCCCCGTGAGCCCCTTTTCGATCCACCCCTGGCGAGGACCATCCCCACACCGCCTGGCAGGGCGTTCTCTGCCAGTGAATTATCTGCCTGATACAAAGGAGGGCGTTCTTCTGTCAGTCTTAAATCCAGAGCTCTGCAATTTCACTGGTGGGTTGTAGTTTTATGAGAGAGGGAGAAAAAGTTATTTCTGTGCAGCCCGGGCATAATTTCGGAAGTCAGCACCATGTTATGCCAAGCTGAACAGTCACAAACATCCGTGCCTTTCCTCTTAGGGAAGAAGTTCCGGCTGCTGCTTCCTCATTTTGGCCGCTGGTCTGTGACTCCACGGCATCCTTTTAGAAGACGGGGTGACCAGAAGTGTCCCCAGGATGGCTGGCTGGCCGTCCCATTGTTGTCTTGCTATCTCTATCTTTCGGCTAAAGTGCTCCTGCAGAGTGCAGGGGGTTGGACTAGATGACCTGCAAGGTCCCTTCCAACTCTGAGCATTCTATGATTCTGTGATTCCCTCTGGTGTGTGTGTGTGTGTGTGTGTGTGTGTACGCGTGGGTTCTCCTCTCCCCCCTTTTATCCTCATGGCCATCCTGTGAAGTAGGTAAGGGTGTTGAGAGTGAGTGTCTGCTCCAAAGTCAGGATCTCCACGTGGCACTCCCAGGTTTTTGCACGACAGCCTCGCCATTGCATCCCACTAAGTGCCTGCCTTGGCAGTCTGTTGCAGGGGTGGCTAAACTGCGGCTTGGGAGCCACACGCGGCTCTTTCACACGTATTTAGTGGCTCCCGGCAGGGCAGCTGGGGAAGGGGAGGGATGCCTCCCTTCCCTGGCCAGGGTTCCCTTCCCTGGGTAGGCTTGAAGCCCCCCGCCCCCAAGCCTACAAATATCACTGGACAAATAGATATCATTATCAATATCTGTTTCTACCCCTTCTGTTTTTATTTTTGGCAGTCTCATTTAATGTTAATAGAAAGCAAATTTACATATTTTGTGATATTTGTTCATGCCTTGTGGCTCTCAAACATCTGATGTTTATTCTATGTGGCTCTTAAGTTAAGCAAGTTTGGCCACCTCTGGTCTATTGGAAGGGCGTTGTGATTCTGTCTTGGATAACTTTTGTTTTCAGTCTCTTGTCTGATCATCCTTACCACAGCATTTGTCTCTCCCACCACGGCGGCTTGCAGTTGAGATCTTAACTGATTTTTCCTCTCACAGCTGCAAAGTCTCTTTCCTGTCTGGTCAAACCCCCCCCCCAGTTTAGACCCCCCCCCATCAGCGCATATTCCAAAGGAGGATGTTTTGCCCCAGTGCACATCACTTTGCACTTGTTTTGCGTCTCACTTGGCATGTGGTCAGTCACTCATCCTCTTGGAGCACTTTAGCATCCTGAATAATTCAGTGTCTGCAGACTTGGGTACTCCACTGTTTACTCCCAATCCCAGATCACTAATGAAAAAATTAAACAGCCCCGGTCATTGTACCAGTCCCTGTGGGACCCCCACGGCTCCCTTCCCCTAGTCCCATGGCAGTCAGGTCTACTCAGGAGCCTTTGGGGAGGGATTTTATGTTTTGAAAAATCAAAAGTCCAGACATATGATGTCTTCCCGACTGTTCTGTTTGATTGTTCAGTTTGGTGTCGTGGTTAGGAGTGCGCGGACTCTAATCTGGGAGAACCGGGTTTGATCCCCCACTCCTCCTCCACTTGCACCTGGCTGGATGGCCTTGGGCAAGCCGTAGTTCTGATAAGAGCTGTTCTTGAAAAAAGAGCCCTTTCTGTCAGAGCTCTCTCAGCCCCACCTGCCTCCCAGGGTGTCTGTTGTGGCCTATCTACCTATCTACCTATCTACCTATCTACCTATCTACCTATCTACCTATCTACCTATCTACCTATCTACCTATCTACCTATCTACCTATCTACCTATCTACCTATCTACCTATCTACCTATCTACCTATCTACCTATCTACCTATCTACCTATCTACCTATCTACCTATCTACCTATCTACCTATCTACCTATCTACCTATCTACCTATCTACCTATCTACCTATCTACCTATCTACCTATCTACCTATCTACCTATCTACCTATCTACCTATCTACCTATCTACCTATCTACCTATCTACCTATCTACCTATCTACCTATCTACCTATCTACCTATCTACCTATCTACCTATCTACCTATCTACCTATCTACCTATCTACCTATCTACCTATCTACCTATCTACCTATCTACCTATCTACCTATCTACCTATCTATCATCTATCCAATTTTAGTATATGTGCTGCCGAAGCGAGCACCTATCATCTATCTATCGCCAGTTTGGAGTCGTGGTTAAGTGCGCGGACTCTAATCTGGGAGAGCCGGGTTTGATTCCCCACTCCTCCACTGGCACCTGGCTGGATGACCTTGGGCAAGCCGTAGTTCTGCCAGAGCTGTCCTTGAAAAAGAGCCGTTTCTGTCAAGAGCTCTCTCAGCCCCACCTACCTCCCAGGGTGTCTGTTGTGGGGAGGGGGAGGGAAAGGAGATTCTAAACCGCTCTGAGACTCCTCTGGGTAGTGAAGGGCGGGGTATGAATCCAATCTCCTCCTCTTCTTCTTGATTCCCCACTCCTCCACTTGCACCTGGCTGGATGACCTTGGGCAAGTCGTAGTTCTGATAAGAGCTGTTCTGGAAAGAAAGAGCAGTCTCTGTCAAGAGCTCTCTCAGCCCCACCTACCTCCCAGGGTGTCTGTTGTGGGGAGGGGAAGGGAGAGGAGTTTGTAAGCCGCTCTGAGACCCCTTTGGATAGTGAAGGGCCATGGGGGATAAATCCAATCTCTTCTTCCTCTTCTTCTTGTTCTTGTCCACCAATTTCAGAGAATTCTAAGAGGCTGATTAGAAAGTCTGCCTACATATTTACAGAAGTTGTGCTGATTCCTTGTCCGGGATGCTCTTTCCTCTTTGGGCTTAACGATTTGGGGCCATCAGTCCTCTAGAAGGGGGGCTGTTCTCTGCAACCAGTTGCAGATCTTGGCAGAAGATCAAGAATACGGCCACATTTGAGTTTCCTTAAGAGTAATCCACAGGTCTGTGCCATCTGGACTCAGTGACTTGTTAGTGCTTTATTTGTCTATCGGCCTTCAAACTTCACCTCTTGTCACCTCAATTTGAGTCAGGTTTTCCAACAGCTTTCAGAAAAACACCAGTTCTGGCACAGATAACCAACTGCCCAACATTTTCCCGATTAGGAACCAATGGAAAGAACATATTCGGTTTCCCTCCGGCCTCCTTGTCTGCCTTTAGCAATCCTTCCTCCCCTTTTCCCATCATTTTTCTTCAGAGCAATCTTCATTCATGTAAATGCTGAACTCAGTAGCACTGGGAATTCCTGTAGTCTCACCCCTTAAGTTTGGTGTAGTGGTTAGGTGCGCGGACTCTAATCTGGGAGAACTGCGTTTGATTTCCCCACTCCTCCTCCACTTGCACCTGGCTGGATGGCCTTGGGCAAGCTGTAGTTCTGATAAGAGCTGTCCTTGAAAAAGAGCAGCTTCTGTCAAGAGCTCTCTCAGCCCTGCCTACCTCACAGGGGGTGTCTGTTGTGGGGAGGGGGAGGGAGAGGAGTTTGTCAGCCGCTCTGAGACTCCTTTGGGTAGTGAAGGGCCATGGGGTATAAGTCCAACCTCCTCTTCTTCTTCTAATCTGGGAGAGCCGGGTTTGATTCCCCACTCCTCCTCCACTTGCACCTGGCTGGATGGCCTTGGGCAAGCTGTAGTTCTGATAAGAGCTGTCCTTGAAAAAGAGCAGCTTCTGTCAAGAGCTCTCTCAGCCCTGCCTACCTCACAGGGGGTGTCTGTTGTGGGGAGGGGGAGGGAGAGGAGTTTGTCAGCCGCTCTGAGACTCCTTTGGGTAGTGAAGGGCCATGGGGTATAAGTACAACCTCCTCCTCCTCCACCTCGTGTTCACTCAGGTATAACATTTCTGGACATTTTGAAGCTGCAGGAGAAGAAAGGGTGTCCCCCCCCCCTTTCCCCCCTTAAAACAAAATAAAACAACCCAGACATTTGGGGGAAATTGAAATATATGCACTACTTATTGTCCTATCAAACCTTAACTAATCTTACTGCTTTAACAATGTAAAACACATCACTTATAATTTACTTGGCATATAAAATTGCAATATTTGACATATTTATGGAATTTAAACGTGATAAATGGCTTAGTTTTGCACAACCAAAATTGTACATATACCCAGTACTTGAGAGGAAACTGCAGGCTAACACACCCTCTGCTACCTTAGCACATGTTCCTTAATATTTGCTACATGGTTAGAGAGAGCTCCATTCTCAAAGTAACTTTCAGAGTTTTCCTCTGTTTCTGCCCTATCCATTCTTCTTCTTCTTCTTTCAATTTCTTCTTCTTTCTGATCTTTCTCCCCCTCCAACAAAGTCAGGCAATAATCTGCTTGTTTTCCAGCCTGTGGGTATGTGTGTCACAGTGTTTTGAGGAAGATGTGAAAAGGTCAACCACAAGGGAAGCACGAGTCAGGTCACAGAATCATAGAGTTGGAAGGGACCCCCAGTGTCATCTAGTCCAACCCCCTGCAAATTCAGGAGATTCACAAATACCTCCCCCCCACACACCCCAAGTAACCGCTGTTCCATGCCCAAAAGATTACAAAAAACCTCCAGGATCCCCAGGGACAAACTGGCCTGGAGAAAAATTGCTTCCTGACCCCAAAGTGGCGATCAGCATTTCCCTGGGAGTGTCAGAAAGGGCCACGAGGAGAACTAAGCACTGAGGCAACCTTTCCTGCCCTCCCTCAGCTGATCTGCCTCAGTTCACAAGGGCAACTGTTCGAAAGGGCAACAGAAGGCATGCAACCGTTGAGAAGCAATGAAAGCCCTGCATGCCCCCCACCTGAAGATCAGGTATCCTTCTTGTTGCAGAAATACACCTTCGATTTAAGAGCTGTTTACAGCATGCCCGGCTTGTCATT